ATGAGAAACTGTACTAGCATGCGATGCTAAGCTCGTGCTATCAGGCATAACCTAGTCAGGTTATCCTACTACTGTCTACTCAAATTCTAGCATGCAATTCTCATAAGGCTGAAACACATAAAGCAGGCACATAAGGCATCCTCCTAGATCCTTAGTCCTATACTAGCATGTTGTTCTACTGAAACTGAAACTGAAATTGGAACTAAAACTGAAACTGGAAATGATAATCATAAACTTGTATGGGTAATTTGGGAGTACTTACTTGAGCTCGGCCGATCGCATGCACCACACCTTTTTCTCTTTATCAAAACTCTTTTCTTTTTAAGTTCTTTTCAAAAATGTTTTTCTTTTAGATCCTTTTACAATTTCCATAGTTTGAGTTCAGATGCACCAAAGAGTGTGTATGAATCCCTCAAACCAATGCTCTGATACCAACTTGTAGAAGCCAAAAATACGACCCAAAAATTTTTGTTTTAATAATAATAAAAATCATATTTTGAACGTCATATCATAAAACCATACGTCAAATATCTCAAATCATAATAAAATGTCGAGAAACAACTGTATCAAATCAGACTATGAATCAAAACAAACTCTGAGGACAAAGACTGAAGCTATGGTGTGTGCAATGCCATCAACCCGAGCTCTTCACTTTACTTGCGGAAGTACCTGAAACCAAAACTGAAACTGTAAGCACGAAGCTTAGTGAGCTGCCCCAAACTACCATATACCATACAATACATATAAATCACATATATGGCCTTCCCCACTGCATCGGACCAAAGTCCGGAAACTGCATTGGACCGAAATCCGGAACTGACTGGGACCTTGTCCCCTCCATCGGACCGGTGTCCAGAATTAGCTACATGGGACCAAAGTTCAGGACTGACTGCATCGGACCAAAGTCGGGAACTAACTGATCATAGCATAGCATAAACACATATCAACTAGCATGACACATATCATCTAACACAACACATATACTGCGTATTACATCAGGCCGTAGCCCGTAACACATAGCACATAAATCCTATCTGAGCCACAAAGGCATCAAACATACTAACTACTGCATCGGATCGAAGTCCGGAGACTACTGCTAGCTAAACGGGGCGGCATTGTGGCCTTAAACCTATTTCTACTGGAAGAAAACTCACCTCATAACCTGGCTACTGAATGAACTACTCAGGATACTGTCTGCTGCTGTTCCGGTATCTCCCCGGCTACAATTTCCATAAGTACACTTAGTCAAACACTGAAACTATACTGAGGGTAAAATGACTATTTTACCCTTGGTTAAAGTCAACCTATGGGTCAAAGTCAACATCCAGTTGACCTGACTCGTCGAGTTGGGTCACCAACTCGTTGAGTCCTTACTCTCATTTTCTTGCTTCTGCTCGCTACTACTCGTCGAGTTTGGCATAGACTCGACGAGTTCCTCTTCGATACTAACACTCAGTCAATCTGCATCCGACTCGCCGAGTTGTATGAACAACTCGTCGAGTCCTCCTTCAACACATGAACACTCTGGCTGTGACTCGTCGAGTTGTATGAACAACTCGTCGAGTCTGTTTTTGAGGTATGAAGGTTGCCTTGGACTTGTCAAGTCAAGGCATTGACTCGCCGAGTCCCTACATGAATGAGTCCAATCTCCGACTCAGTGAGTCCTCCCATAACTCACTGATTCCACTCGACATAACATATAAAAGGGAAGAACTCGGGATCAGACGACCCGACTCGCCGAGTCTGAAGAACAACTCGCCGATTCGGTTGCAAGCAACACTACTCCGATGATTCTGCTCAAATCTAATGCATACAACTTATAGATAAGGGTTCATAAAGCTTGGCTACCATGTAAAGTTTCCAACTTTACGTGTACAAATGCATGAAAATGGATTTAAAGGCTAAAGAGACACTTGAAGAAATAGATCTAGGTCTTTCAAGCAAAAAGGCTCCATAAAGGTGTTAGATCCACAACTTTGGGACTGAAACATGGCTAGACCCGAAGTCCAATCACCCCAATGTGATTTCTCTACCAAAATAAGCTAAGGAATGGATAAAATGGTCTAAATATGATTTAACAAAGGAGGAATAATCATAACAATAGAGGGGATCCGATTTTACCTCAATAACTCTGCAATAGATGCAAGATCTTGGACCTTCTTCTACTCCTTTGGATCTAGCTACTTCTTCTCTTCCAAAACTTCAAGATTCACACAATGAATGCTCAAAATGCTCAAGGAAAGGTTAGGGTTTTCTAAATGATGCTCTGAGGGTGAAGGGGGACGACGTTAGGGCTCATAACATGGCTTAAATAGGGTGCAAAACCCAGGGATTTAGGGTTTCATTCAGACTGATGGACTCGCTGAGTCCAAGATATGGACTCGCCCACCAACACAAACGTGCTCGAAATCCCGTCTCTACTCGATGAGTCAGGCTACTGACTCGTCGAGTCCCTCTTGAAACTTGAATAAATAATAATATTAAATAACATACCAAATCAGGGTGTTACAGTTTTATTATGGAATGGAATGGAATTGACTGTTTTACAATGGAATGGAATTGAGAGGTTTGTAATGGAATGCAATTGACTGGTTTTCTGTTGGAATGGAATTGAATTGAATTAAATAGAATTGAATGGTGTTGAATAGAATTGAATGATATTGAATTAGAATGGAATTGAATTGAATAATTGGTGGAATTGAATTTAATGATTAAATAGAATTGGATGATTGATGGAAATGAATTGAATGATTGAACTGAATAGAATTGAATTAAAACAAAAACATAGCAACATATTATAGCACTAATTGTCCATACTGTAATTAAAAATAGAGATACATTAAAAGTCATACCATACATAGACAATGAGTCCCAAAAGTCATACCATAATTGTTCATAACACAAACACAAAACATAATGACAAATATAACAAACACAAAAGATCATAACACCATAATTGGTTATAGCACAAACACAACATATGATAACACAATCATAACTTAAGTAATACTTTTCCCTTTCTTCCCAGCCTTCCTTGTCCTGCTTGAAATTCCATCACATGCACTTTGAGTTCCACTTTGCCTACCACCACCTACACTTTAAGCTTTCTTCCCAACATTCCCTTTCTTGCTTGAAGTACCATCACCTGCACTTTGATCTTTCTTCCCAAACTTCCTTTTCTTGATTGAAGTACCATCACCTACACTTTTAGCTTTATTCCCAACCTTCCCTTTCTTGCTTGAACTAGCATTACATGCACTTTGACCTTTGCAGCTTCTTTTATTATGACCAAGCTTTTTGCATTTTGAGCATGTCACACTCTTTTCCTTCCTTGATGTCGTACCACCCTTCACCATATCTTCTAATTCAACAGCTGACTTCCTTCTTTTCTTCCTTGGTCTTCCAATAAGGACACGATGATTGGGAGGAAGCAAAGTGGTTGGACATGGAAACTTTTCCCACATTCTTCTTCCATTAATTGGTTCAATCTTGAAAGAATACATTTCCTTCCAAGTTTTTAACCAGTAAGTAGAATGAACCCATTCTTTAGGTACACCAACATTCTGCTTATTTTTTCTCATGTCCCATATAGCAACAAGGGAATGTTTATAGGGTATACTAGTGAGTTCCCATATTCTACAAGAACATGTGTGTTGAACCATGTCTACCACACATTGGTCCATCCATGGACCACTCACCTGATATTTTCCATTCCCATAGAACTTACCCACACATTGAGCTGCATCAGATTTGTTTCTTTCAAGCACACTTGTTGCAGCTGGAGTTAATGGTCCAACAGCCTTATCAATTACTTTTTTGACACTCACAATGCTTAACATAATGTACTCTCTAATGTACTCAAGGCATGTGATAATTAGTTGGTCACGTGCTTTCTTAATTTGATTATTTATGGTCTCACACAAGTTATTCAGAAGCCCATAATAATGAGCCCACCTTACAATATAAATAAAAAATTATGTGAGAAAGTGAATCATTTGGTAACAATTAACTCAAAAAAATAAAACAAACTCGTGAAGTGTGCCCTAGACCAATGTTGAGGTGGAATAGATTGAACCATTCGTAGCAGTCATTGTTTAGCTTTCTTAACTCTTCCATAGCATGGTTGAATTCTTGTATTGTTGTTGTACTTGCACAGTTCCACAACATGTCCTAAAACACCTTTCCCCTCCACATTTTCTTCATGTTTTCATGAATGTGTCGCAGAAAAAACTTGTGTTCTGCACATGGATACAATGTACCAATTGCTTGCAACAAGCCCTGTACAAAAAGTAAACAACATTAGATGTAATGTATACAATGTACAATAAGAACCAAGTCCATTGAAATTACTTACCTTCTGTCTATCAGATATAAAGGTAAAGTTGGAATTAGCTTGCAAATCAATGTCATCACCCAAGGACCTTAAGAACCAAGTCCATGAATTTATATTCTCAGCCTCTACGACAACATATGCCAAAGGATATGTACAATTATTTCCATCAAGACCCTAAACATAGTGAAGGAGTTAGTAATTTAATTAAAATGGAATAAAATGAAAAAAGATATGTGTTTACATCTTACCACTACTATGAGTATCATTCCAGGATAAGGCCCTTTCATAAAAGTCCCATCCAAACCAAGGTAATCTCTTTTGCCAGCTACAAAACCTTTCTTTAATGGCCCTAGACAAATGTATATCCATTTGAAAGTTCTAGTCTCAAAAGATGGGATTGGCTCACTTTCGACCTCTATCTTAACTGTTGTCCCTCGGTTTCGAGTGCAAAGTTCTTGAACATAGTCTCGTAGTGTATTATATTGCCCTGTATAGTCGCCCCTTACTTGATTCAATGCTTCTGTTTTAGCCCTAAATACCTTCATCTTCGAAATATCTACCTGGTATTCACATTGAAGTTGTTCTTGTAAAGCTCGTGTAGGGAGTGTAGGGTTGCTTTCAATTTTTTGCACTATTTTCTTTGCCAAAAACTTGTAGGTACAAGCTTTCAAATTTCTTGTTTGTAGACATCTATGCTCTTTTTCATAGGTATTGATCTCCCAGTCAACATCTTGTTCCCACTTGCTAGCATAAAGTACCCATGGACACTTCTTTTCTTCACTTTCTTTATGGCTTTGACTGGGCTACATGGATCAAGTTGACCATGGTCTAGGATAGTACCTTTACAAATAGCTCTCACTCTATTTTTGTCATTTTTTATGAAGTCTATTTCCCTCCTTATCTCCACAGCATGTTGTCTTATTGCATCTTTCAATTCTTCAGATGAGGTGAATTTTTGGTACACATAGAATGGATCACTAACTCTTGCTTCACTATTTTCCATTGCCCTTCGAATTGCCTTAATTAATTTTCTTCTCCTATTGTTGTCACCTTCATCAGATGATGACTCATATAAGAATACCTCATTGTTTACAACCTCAATATCACCAATTTCCCTTGTTTCTGTTTCCTTGACATTTCACCCTCCAAGATCACCCACCCACTCTATATCGTCATCAATATTTAACAAAGCACTCACTATCATCACTATCACCACTATCATCAACATCATCTCTATTGTCACTTTCATAAGTATTCCCTCTAGGTTCTTCATTTATAATTTCATCAAATTCATCAAATATACCTTGTGTTTCACATTGGGCATAAATTTGGTCAGTTGCAGTTTCTTTTGTTGGCACAACAACTGCTTTACTTGATCCAATATAATCCCCTGTTTCAGTTTCCTTCCATTCCAAAACTAGACTTTTACTACATGAAGGTTGATCAACGATTTCTTCTATCCTAAATTTACTAGGGGTAGATGAAATTGTATATGTATGCAACACTGTTTGACCATGTTCAACATAAACTTCAATCAATTTATGTTTACCCACATATGAACCTAAACGGTTAATGTCACTGTCACTAGCCAATGCAAACAACCCAAAGTCCAAATTTGAAAAGGGTCTTTTGAAGTGGTAATAGAGCAACTTACCCTCCTCAACATAGCTTAGGGTCTCCATCATCTCATCAATATCTTGTACACAGAACTCATCAATGTCCAATATATCAATGTATCTTTCTTTGCCCTTGACGTACCTCCTTCCATGAAACTTCGTAAACTCTCCACCATAGAATAATTTGATGGAGAAGATGGTTGGATGACCAGCTGTAAAAGAGAAAGCTTTAACTTATTAGATTGAAATTTGTAAGTGATAAATTTAACTTTTGAAAATACGGGGTTACCGTAATGTTTTTCAACGGCTATTTCTTCCATCTTTGCTCTAATCCTCCAACCCACCATTGTTGCTTCAATGATTCTTGCAAAATTTTGAGGATTTAGGGTTTCTACTCGATTTTGATGAGTTACAGATTAAGTGAGAGAGAGAGAGAGAGAGAGTGTGTGTGTGTGTGTGTGTATGAGAGGGAGGTGATCGTAAAATGATCGGAATGAAGAAACGATTGGCATTGTATTTAGGCGCCATGTATAAAATGACGAAAATAACCTCATGTGCGAAGCACGTGGGTGACTTAACGTTTGGAATTGACGACTAACGGACCCAGGGACCAGGCGGGTAATAAAAAAGAAAATGTGGGGATGGTCCGAGTGCAAAACAAAACAAAGGGACCAAACAAGCAACCTTAGCCAAACCATAGGGACTATTTCAGTAATTTGTTCTTAAAATTAGAAACATCAAAGGTGACATTCGAGAAGATGCTCAAGAGCGAGAAGTGGTTGGAGTTGTTGGAGGAGCTGGAAGAATTGTTTGAAGTTGACATCTGAAAAGGAAAAAGGATAAGATTTGATTAGATAAGAAAATCCTCAATTTAACATCCAAATGAAATATTAAGGCTAAGATCCAACTAAATAATTCATAATTCAGAAGATGGATGCCGTAATCTAATTGCAAATTATTTAAAGGTAGGTAAATGATGATTTACCAATTTCACCACTACGAAAACGAAATTTTAAGTGAATTAAGTTTTAAATGAAATTCCTAGTTTTTTTAAGATTCATTGAACTATTCAATGTCATGTTTAATCTCGACGCAAATTAGTTTGGTACTCTCGATGCCATTTATCATCTAGTTAACGTGCTGGTTAACAACACACGCTCCATTAATCAGTGATAATTTACGAGCTACCTATTGCCACACTATATTAGTCTATATTAGTGTGTCGGTTAACCACGGACGCTCCACTAACAAATTTTATAAACTGCAATCTGCAATTTCATGGATTAACATCAAATTTATATTAACTAAGATTGAGAATTTTATAAAAACATGTAGTTACCTTATGTATTCCGTTATACTTATTAATGAGAATTAAGTGTCCTATAAAACCCGTTCGGCTTACAACCCTCCACTAGTCAAGAGAGCGGTCGGTAATAGTGGATAGCTACTGACGTCATTTTATAGGCTGCTTCTTTAAACTCCCCTTATAGACCAGTTTCGTGAATAGGGTCTACTAACGGCAAGAGTAATTTTTCTTTTATATATATATATATATATATATATATATATATATATATATATATATATATATATATATATATATAAGGGTGTATTTTAAACTTTTAAAATACTAGGGCTCTTAAATTTTAACTTTTCAAAATTAAACTATTTAATTTAAATTTTTAATTTTAAAACCAAGGATATATTTTTAAAACTTTTCAAAAATACTAGGTTAAATTTTTAATAATTAAATTAACAAATTAATTTTATCTTTATCAAAAAACTTTAACCCAATCATGGATTCATGGTAAGGATACAAAATTACTGATTAAAATATCCAATTTTAAACAATTAAAACAAATTTAAGGTATTTATCATAATTAATCCATGAGACAATTATCAAAACCGAAAATTTAGGATCAAAAAGTGTAACTCGTCGAGTTGGCCAATTACCACGTCGAGTTGCATGTCAATTCGTCGAGTTCAAAACCCAATTCAACGAGTTCGATGAACAGAATGACGATTATGTTTCATTCTCCTTTGAACAATTCACAATTTCATCATATTCAATAGACGACTAATCCTAGGCTATGATACCACTGATGGGTAAAATGCAAATTTAAACACTAAAGGAGAAACCCTAGGAAGTGTCTACAATTTTCTAAATCTATATAAAACTAGGGTTTAGTAACATACCTTGATTGTTATATTGTAATAACAATGATTCCCATGTAGATCTTGAAGTTTGAGGACTTAGTGTCACAAGTTTAACGCCTCTAATGACTCACAAACACACAATGCGAGAGAATGATATGAGAGAGGAGGAGGTGATAAAAAAATTCGGTTCTTGCTTCTTCCAAAGAGTGGCCTAAAATCCAAGGCTTAAGGGCTCTATTTATAGTACACCAAGGATGCTATGGATAACCCTAATCTCAAATATGGTAATTATCCACCTCCTTTTATTATCCATATATGATAAGATGTTCTAAAAACTCTAGAATAATCTTACATATATCTCCGATTTCATCCACCACCTTCCCTAGGAAGGTTCTGGACCCTTTTTCTCAACTATTGAACAATTGCACTTTTAGTCTCTACACTTTTAATTAATTCACTTAATCCCAAAATTAATTCCAAATTAATTTCTGATTAAATATTAGTTAATAATATGACTACTAATTAATATATTATTTCCATAACATATTAATAAATCATTTATTCCAATTTATTAATCAATTAATAACTTATTCTTCCTCAATTATCGTCCTGTCTAGTTGCACGTGTGAAGGCAACCCAAAAGGACTATGCCACTATCAATTCAAGTACATACCAATTATAGTTATGGGATTAGACACCTAATCCAACACCATATCACTTGGAACCACCAAAGATGTCGAAGTTGTCTATGCAGCTTTAGGAGCTGCCAGACAAGGGGTTTATTCGGCCAAGTAGCTCTCTTTGGGGAGCATCGATCCCGTTTGTGACAAACAAGGATGGTTCACAGACGATGTGTATTGACTACCGGGATTTGAATATGTTAATGGTGAAGAACCATTATCCATTCCCAAGTATTGATGATTTATTTGATCGGCTTCAGGGTGCATCTTGGTTTTCCAAGATTGATTTGTGACCAGGTTATCACCAAATAAGGGTTAGAGATGATGATGTGCAGAAACACAGCCTTCAGGACTCGTTATGGCCATTATGAATTTGGGGTAATGACCTTCAGGCTCACCAATGTCCCAATAACATTCATGGATCTCATGAATCGGGTTTGCAGGTTGATGCTGGATCGATCGGTGATAGTATTTATACATGATATTTTGGTCTACTACAAGACCAAGGAGCAGCATGATGAGCATTTTCTTGAGGTGTTGGAGACCCTTAGTATGGAGAGGCTTTATGCCCAATTCTCCAAATCTGAGTTCTGGTTACGAAATGTGTAGTTCTTGGGTCACATCATCAACCAGAAGGGTATATTGGTCGACCTGACCAAGATCGAGGGCATGATGCGAATGGAGGTTCCGAGGACCCCATCTGAGATTCAAAGCTTCCTATGATTTTTATGGTATTATAAGAGATTTATCCAATACTTCTCCAAGGTTGCAGTGCCTTTGACCCGCTTGATGAAGAAAAATGTCACCTTTCGATGGGGGGGTTGTGTAACGCCCGCGCTTTGGGGCTAAGCATTTTTAGACAATGTAATAGTCTACGTCAACTATTTTAACTCTTTATGAAATAATAAAAATGGAATATTTGAGTATTATGTGAATTATGTGTATTTATATGCTTATTAATCATTTATAAATGTATAATAAATAAAGGATAAAAATAAGCGTCAAAATTAAAATGTGAGATAAACCTGATATCTTTATATAAAGTTGTAGTGGTCGAAACAAGGATTCCGGAGATATAAATAACGTCGAAATCCGAGTTGTAACGAAGAAGTTATGACCCGTCGAAGTTTTGCGATGGAACTGGCACGGTACCAGGAAGCGTAAATAGTGAATTTACGATAGAGCGAGTTTTAGCCTTAACGATCTAAATAAAAGTTGTAGAATACATTAAATCAAGAGCATCCATAAAAAGAACGCCCAAACCTGACTTTGTATGAGGAATTTATGATTTTTCGAAGTTTCCGCTTAGCAGTGTACAGCCCGAAACTCGAATTTTAGATCGACCGGTTTTTGGCCTACGCGACCTAAATGAGAATTGAAGATCTCATTAATAAGAACTCAACGGTAAAAAGATAGACAAAAACTGAGTCCGTATGTAGAAGTTATGAACTTTACGCGGACATTTAACAGTATTATCTCCTTGTACTGTTAAATTTAAGATTGGTCGAGAATTAGCCAATAAAGTCAAATTGAAAGTTGTAGATCTTATTTTTACCTATGCGTGGATATAAAGAACGTCAGAAACGGAGCTCGTATGTGAAAGTTACGGATTTTAGAAGTCGGAAGTGTACTGTGCGAAAATGGGTGACGTGGCACAATCTTGGCCATTGCTTTCTCCCCAAGGCTTGCCACCAGATGGTGACATGTGGCACCAAGTTCTGCCACATTTCACCCTATAAATACCACCTCTCCCACCCTTATTTTCTTCACACCTTTCCCATTCTTTCTTCTCTTTACTCTCTCTCTCTCTCTCTATCTATCTATCTATCTATCTCTCTTTCTTTCTCTCTCTCTCTCTAGAACCTCTAACCCCGAAATCCCTCGAAAAGCCTATGGAACCTACCTAGCACGAGGCGGAAGCGCCGGAGTGCTCGACAGCTCTGAGAAGAAGAGCTTTTTGGCTCGGGAACGCTGCTCCAAGCAAATCCTGGTTTTCTATAAAACCCGCTGTAAGTGAGCTACGCCTACGCAATTTTTAATATAGTTTTTATTTAATTATAGTAACGATATTAGGAACTTATAATAAATACTTGGGCTATTATTATGGGTTATATAAGTATTTTTTTAACGCTTATATAATAGTAATAATAGTTAGACTATTAATTAGTCTCGGCGAATAATAGACTAAACTCTAGTGGTAATAATACTAGGTTTCGTCGAAGTAAATTATTTTTAAGAAGCGAAGCGTTGTCTGAGTTCGGAATCACTACCTTTTCAAGTGAGTGCATGGTCCCTTTCATCTTACACATAGATATGAAGTATTTTATATAAACTACGTGCTATGTGTGTATATTATTATTATACTTGCTATCTATGTTGGATGAACGATTTTATACAAGTGTTATATGATTTAAATTGTATATGTATTTTATATCTACAAAAATGTTGGGGTAAAACATGGGTAGATGTAATAGGTGATGTGTGATAAAATGATGAGAGGCCTCGATGTT